GGGGGGGGGTGCTTGTTCTGTAGCTGTATTATGTATGTTTATATAAATATACTCATTTATACATACATTTATATATATCTATGTATATAATATATATTTATTTATTATATGTGTATATAATATACATATATATATATATATGTAAACCACCATTTGTATGCACTTACATGTGTATCAGTAAAACTTATGTTTATATTTTATGTATATAAATAAATTAGACATATACATATTATATATATACGTATAAATATTTTGTGTAACAAATAATAAATAATATATAATAAATAGTAAATAATAATAATAAATAATTGTAAGATTATTAATACTGCATGCCCATTATTATAATTATTATACTTTTACTGTTCAGTATTGAAATTATTATAAGTATAATTATAGTAATATTTTGTTATGTGATGATGGTTATTCATAAAATAATAATAAATAAGATAATAATAAATAAAATAGTAATAATTAGATAAATGAAGATAATAATTATCAGTACAATTATGAATATAATAATTAATATTATGAAGGTGTTTATAATAATAAAAGTATTATATGTTATTTATGCTTATGTGTATATCTTTCTTATACGATTATGTTATTGTTATTATATGATATATATAATATAATAATTAATAATATGCATGTAAATATAATAATAATAATATATTATATATTATTATGCTGCTTACACTTAGGGCTTTCTTATGATACGCAATGAACAAAGAAAGTATTGATAGATATATTATGATATATGTATATGATGCTTATGCTCAGGGCTTTCTTATCATATGCAAGAAACAAAGAAAGTATTATTAGGTTGTGCTGCTTTACTTGCAAACGGAGGAGCTGTAAATAGCGGCGGTGCTGCAGCAGTTGCTATGGTAGCGAAGATGCATGCACGGCCAGTAGTTGTTGTTTGCGAGAGTTATAAATTTTCTGAAAGAGTTTTGCTTGACTCTTCTTCTTTTAATGAATTGGGGGACACAGCACCAGTATGGCAGCCTTATAATACCCCTGCAGCAGCAGCAGCAACAGCAGCAGCAACAACAAATGCAGCAACAGCAGCAGCAACAACAGCAGCAACAACTGCAGCAAAACAAACAAACCCGCATCATCACCACCATCATCATCATCACCATCACCATCAGCATCAACAGCAGCAGCACCACCAGCACCATCACCAACAGCAGCAGCAGCAGCAGCAACAGCAGCAGCAGCAGCAACAGCAGCAGCAACAGCAGCAGCAGCAGCAAGGTTGTGGGCTTTGCTGCTCGTCTGATTCAGCAGTTCCAGCTGTCAGTCCTCTCTATGATGTTACTCCTGCTCGCTTTATTGATTTTGTTGTTACAGAGAATGGTGTCTATCCGGCTAGAGTAATCCCTGCGCTGATCTCCGGCACAGCAAATTCGCCTGCAAGAGCAGACTAAGCGTTTACTTCAATTATCATATTCAACAACCACCTAGCTAGCTACCTATATAGCTAGCTAGCGAACGAACGAAAGAATGAATGGAAAACATTGCTAGCTAGCTAGCTAGCTAGCTAGTGAACCTGCTAGCTAGCTAGCAAAACAGCTAGCAAGCTAACGAACGAGCTAGCTGGCCAGATTTATGTGGATACTTGGCTGGCTAGCTAGCTACCTGTAGGGCTACCTGGATAGTGAGCTACCTACCTGGCTAGCTAGCTAGCTGGCTAGCTATGTGGATACCGGGCTAGCTAGTCGGCTAGCTATATGCATGACTGGCTAGTCATTTTGATACCTGGCTAGCTATATGGATAATCTGGTAGCTATATGGATAGCTGGCTAGCTATATGGATAGCTGGCTAGCTATATGGATAGCTGGCTAGCTATATGGATGCCTGGCTAGCTAGCCAGCTGGTTAGCAATGTGGATGGCTAGCCAGCTGGCTAGCCAGCGACGCAGATCATCAGCTACCCGACAGGTGGCGAATATCGGGGAGGCCTGGCTACCTGGCTAGCTAGCAGGCCGGGTCCCCACAACTAGCTAGCTAGCTGGGTCCCTTTAGCTAGCTAGCTGGGTCCCTATAGCTAGCTAGCTGGCTCCCCAGCTAGCTAGCTACCCGGCTAGCCGGCGAACAGTCTAGCTAGCTAGCTAGCTAGATATGGGTAGATAGATGGCTAGCTAGCTATATGGCTAGATGGCTGGCTAGCTGGCGGCTAGCTGGATAGCTAGCTAGCTAGCCATCGGCCTGCTACTGCATCTTTTCCTCGCGGCTGTTTGTCTGTTTGCTTTGAATTCATAAAACTTTTAAATTGCCGCACTGCCTTTCGGCTTGTTCAGTCCCTAGCTAGCCACTTAGCTAGCTAGCCAATTAGCTAGCTAGCCACCTAGCTAGATAGCTAGCCACCTAGCTAGCTAGTGACGGCTAGCTAGCTAGCCGTCGTTATTGTTTGCAGAGTCAGGTCTTTCACCCGTGCAGAGTTTCTCCAACCAGAAAGATGTACAGCAAACACTCCGCTACACTGGCTGCAACCTACACAGCCCTGCACCGCTAGCTAGCTAGCTAGCTAGCTAGCTTCATAGCTGGCTAGCCAGCTAGATAGCTAGCTCGCTAGCCGTGGCTAGATATAAACAAGTTGCAGAAAATAAAGGAGGCCTCCGCCTCTCCCACCCAAAGCGCAGCGTCCGTCAAGTGAAAAAACCCTCAGCTGCTGCTGCTGCTGCAGCAGCAGCAGAACCTGCTTCTGCTGCTGCAACTGCTGCAGCAGCAGCAGCAGCAAAATTAGTTGTCTGGATGTGTTTGTTGTTTGTTTGATGTAGTTAGTGATGCCAGGGCTGCTAGGGTTTTCTTCTTTGTGCCGCGGCGCCGCAAAGAAAGCGAAGACTCCTTCTCCGGTGAAAGCCCTGTTGCTGCTGCTGCTGCTGGTGCTGCTGCTGCTGCTGCTGCTCCAGCTGCTGCTGCTGTTGCTGCAGCAACATTGCACGCATACACACAAGCCACATACACAATTACCATCCAGTCAATCGAAACCCTCCAAACCCTAAACCCTAAACCCTAAACCCTCGAGAGGAACCCGAAATCCTAAACCCTAAACCCTAAACCCTAAACCCTAAACCCTAAACCCTACCTTTGAGGGCCTTCCCTTTGGTTGCAGAAGCTGCGGCATGGCTTTTTCTTAAAACTGCATGTAGCGCTGCAGCGGGAGAAACAGCAGCAGCAGCAGCAGCTTCTGCTGCTGCTGCTTCAGATGCTGCTGCTGCATCTCCAAGAGTTAATGAGCCGCCACCCGAGAAGGAGACAGACAACAGATTTGCTGCTGCAGCAGTCCCTGTCTCCTGCAGCAAAACGCAGCAAACACACATATCACACATATGCCCTGCGCACTGCAGCAGCAGCAGTAACTGCAACAGCAGCAAATGCTCCAGCAGCAGCAGCAACTGCAGCAGCAGCAAATGCTCCACCAGCAGCAGCAACTGCAGCAGCAGCAGCAACCGCAGCAGCAGCAGCAACTGTAGCAGCAGCAAGAATATTCACCTCTGCATTTTGGGCCATGTCGTCTAACATCAGCAACCGCTGCAGCGCCCTCTTAGATGAAGGCTTCTCACTCTTTGCTGCTGCTGCTGCTGCTGCTGCTGCTGCTGCTGCTGAAGTGCTGGGGACGTGACCGCGGTTGTCAGGGACGAAGACAATTCGCTCAAGGCTGAAGGCAGCTGTTAAAACAACCAACACGCTCTGCTGCTGCTGCTGCTGCTGCTGCTGCTGCTGTTGCTGGGGCTGCTGCTCGTTTATGAAGCAGCAGCCTAAGATAGAGTCATCCGGCTCTCTGCATTGCGTCCACTCGAGGTGTACAGACACCGCAGCTTCTTCAGCCAGCACCGGCAGCTCCTCTACCCCTTTGCTGCTGCTGCTGCTGCTGCTATTTAAAACAAACGAGTGAAGCCAGTGGAGGCCCTGAGCAGCGCTGACGACGACAAAACGGACGGGAGAACCACCACCCTTCTCCACTGCTATCGCAGCCACTGGCCCTGCACACACAAACCCTAAACCCTAAACCCTAAACCCTAAACCCTAAACACTAAACACTAAACACTAAACACTAAACCCTTGTGGTTTGGCTGCGTGCGTGTTGGAGTAGAAAGTCTGCAACGTGTAGGACTTCTGTTTTGCTGCATTTGCTGCTGCTGCTGCTGCTTCTTGCACCACCTGCTGCAGCAGCACTACCTGCTGCAGCAGCACTGCCCGATGCAGCAGCAGCACTTCCTGCAGCAGCAGCAGCACTTCCTGCAGCAGCAGCAGCAGCACTAACAGGTGCAGCAGCACTAACGGCCGCAGCAGCAGCACTAACAGCAGTAGCAGCAGCACGAACAGCCGCAGCAGCACTAACAGCAGCAGCAGAATTGTACCAGGGAGTGTATACGTCCAGTGCAGCAAATGGTTCTGCAGGCTCCACAGCGCGATGCCTCCGCCTTGCAGCCCCAGCAGCACAAATAAACCCCCGCTGCTCTCAATCACAGACACTGATGTGCAGAAACTAGAACCTCCTGCTGCTGCTGCTGCTGCTGCTGCTGATGCTGGTGCTGCTGGTGCTGCTGCTGCAACGTCGTTTAGCCCCTGTGGCTGCTCTGCTGCTGCTGGTGGTGCTGCTGCTGGTGCTGCTGCTGCAGCAGCAGCAGCAGGTGCAGCAAAAAGATCTATTAGCTGAGGACCTTCAACCATACTCCAAACCGAAGATAGGCTGCCGTGAGATGCAACAAGAAGAGTAAAATCGAGAGAAGCAGACAAAGAGTAAATAGGAAGGCCTCTCATATCCCACTCTAATAAACAGACAAACCCTGATCCTGCTGCTGCTGCTGCTTGTGCTGCTGCTGCTGCTCCTGACCCTGCTGCTGCTGCTGCTGCTGCTTGTGCTGCTGCTGCTGCTGCTGCATCCGCAGGCGCAGCCACACGCCGCCACAATTTAAACTTCGAATCCAAAGAAGCACTCAAAAATGTGCACGGCACCTAAACGCAAACCCTAAACCCTAAACCCTAAACCCTAAACCCTCAACCCTAAACCCTGAACCCTAAACCCTCAACCCTAAACCCTAAACCCTGGCTCAAAAAGCTAAACTGCAGTGCTTGAATCTTTGAAACCCTTGAAACCTTCCGGCAAAAGAACAAATAGAGTTTAGGGTTAAGGCCTAGGGTTTAGGGTTTAGGGTTTACTGTGGGGTGCGCTTCTAGCGCAGTGACGTCGTGGATGTGAGGGTCTTGTATTCTCGTTAATAAAACGAAAGTGCCTCTGCTGCCTCTCCTCCACCCCAACTGCTGCTGCTGCTGCTGCTGCTGCTCTTCGTCTTCCTCCCCTTCGCTGCTGCTGCTGCTGCTGCTGCTGCTGTATTCAGTCCATACCCAGAAAGAGAGAGAGTAGCTGTTGCCGCTGCATTGCTGCTTCGGCTTCAGCGACAAATCCCCTCTGTAGTAGCAGCAGCAGCTGCCCTTGCTGCTGCTGCTGCTGTTGTTGTTGCTGCTGTTGCTGCTGTTGCTGCTGCTGCTGCTGCAGGCGCAGCAGCACGCTTCTGCGGTTCCGTTTGCGGCGTCTATACCGGATGCGGGAGCGCAGCAGCAGCAAGAACAGTTGCTGCTGCTGCTGCTGCTGCTGTCTGAGTAGAGTTGCTGCTGCTCTGGTGAGCACCTTGTCTGCACAACAGCAATGCTGCTGCTGCAGCAATCTGCTGCTGCTGCTTGTACACCCCACGTACAGCCGAAATCTCCATCTACTCTTGAGGTGTACATACGCTGCTGCAGCTGCAGCTGCAGCACTTCTACTCCTGTCTTAGCATCCATTACTTGTAAGCGCGACTCGTTGCTGCACACCAGCAGCAGGTCCCTGCTGCTGCTGCTGCTGCTGCTGCTGCTGGTGATAGGGAATGGCCTTAGACAGGTCTGCGGTAGCTTGCTGCTGCTGCTGCTGCTGCTGTTGATTTGCTGCTCGAGATAGAGCTGCTGCTGCATTTTTTGTAGCTGCTGCAAGTGCCTCCATTTGTGGGTCTGTTCTTCTGCTTCTTCTTCCTCGTCCTCGTCCTCTGCTGCTGCTGCTGCTGCTGCTGCTGCTGCTGCCTTGGCTGCAACAGCAGCAGCATCTAGATTGATACTAAATGCAGCAAGAGGCAGCAAAACCCCTTGAACAGCAGCAACATGTGTAAGTGTATCGCCTGCAATAATACGAATACTATTATCTGCGCAGGAGACAGCTAGAAGCTCTAGCTGCTGCTGCTGGTGCTGCTGCAGGTGCTGCTGCTGCAGGTTGTCTCTCACCAGCAGCTCAGCCCAAGCAGCAGCAAAATAAATAATAGGGGCCCCTAGCCTAGGTAGAAACTGTCTACGAAAACTCTCGTATACACCCCAGAAGACAATGACCCCTTCTTCGCCTCCGGACAGCAGCAGCCTCCCATCGTAAGAAAAAGATAAACAAGATAAAGAGTGTGCGTGCCAGTGCAGCACAGCTGTACGTACACCGCAGCTCAATCTGCTGCTGTTAAGGCTGCTGCTTCTTCCTCCTCCTCCTAATGCTGCTCTTGTTGCTGTTGCTGCTGCTGTTGTTGTTGCGCGCCGCTTCACGCTTACACACTCCTGCTGCTGCTCCCCCTCCTGCTGCACCTCTTCCTCCTCTTCCTGCAGCAGCAGCTGCTGCTGCTGCTGCTGTTGCTGCTGCTGCTGTGTAGCAGCATAAAACAGCACAATGCGGCCTTGGTCGTCAGCTGCTGCAACAAATAGCTCCTCCGGGTGTATAGACACCTGAACCAGCAGATCTATGTGCAGCAGCCGCAGCGGCTGCTGCTGCTGTTGCTGCTGCGTATAAAGCAGCAAAGACTTTCCGCATGCAACAGCAATCATGTTTGCAGTGGGAGACACAGCAATAGCTGAGGGGCGCTCCGAACAAGAGAACAGATGCCTTGCTGCTACGAATTCTTGCTGCTGCTTCTTTCCTGCTGCTGCTGCTGCTGCTGCTGCTCTTTGGTGGTTCACTGAAGGTATGCAATCTTCAAAAGACAGCACCCGCACCGCATAACGAACATCTGCTGCTGCTGCTGCTGCTGCTGATGTCTTAGAGTCAAACTCAAGGTCGTCTTCCTGCTGCTGCTGCTGCTGTTGCTGCAGTGGCGGCAGCAGCAGCAGCAGCACCACCTGACGACTCTTGCATGCAACTGCAGCAGCAAGAATTGAACCCTCAACTCTTAGCGTCCGCAGACAGTTAGGGGACGTCTCCCTCTCCTGCTGCTGCTGATGCTGCTGCTGCTGCTGCTGCTGCTGCAAGGCAGCGTAGAAGGCAGGGTTGCTGTGCAGCTCCCAGCAGCAAACAACTCCATCAAGAGCAAACGACAGCAGCATCGGCGGCAGCTCCGCGTACACCTTGGGGGGGATGCTCACCAGCCCCGTCACCTGCAGCAGCAGCAGCAGCAGCAGCAGCAGCAGCAGTAGCAGCAGCAGCAGTAGCAGCAGCAACAGTGAAAGACTGCTGCTATGCTACGGAGGTTTTTGCTGCATCTTCCTTGCAAAAACATCACTTGCTCCTGATGTTAGGGTTTAGGGTTTACGAATTAGGGTTTAGGGTTTACGAATTAGGGTTTAGGGTTTGAGAATTAGGGTTTAGGGTTTACTCTGCTGCTATGTCCTTTGCATGTGTAAAGGGGAGCGCCGGTGTTTGCGGTGTATATGCAGATGTGGGGCCCGCGAGCGCAGCAGATGATTCTGCTGCTGCAGCTAAAGACAGGTGCAACAGCAGTCAAGCAGCCAGATATCTGCTCGGTGTACGCAGAAAAGCCGCTGCTGCTGCTGCTGCTGCTATTGCTGCTGCTGCTGCTTCTCCTGCTGCTGCTCGGGTGCTTCGACGCGCCCAGAAGGGCCGAAGGCAACGCCATTTCTGCTTCTGCAGCTACCATAATGTGCTGCTGCAATATAATTGCTGCTGCTGCTGCTGCTGCTGTTGCTGCTGCTGCTGCTGCAGATGGCTTATGAATCCACAGTGTTTAAGACAATATAGGTATTGAAGGAATAAGAGAGTAAAATAGACAATCGGTTAGAGAAGTATGCAGCGACACATCGATCTGCTGCTGCTGCTGCTGCTGCTGCTGTTGTTGTTGTTGTTGTTGTTGCTGCTGCTGCTTGGTTGCTGCTGTGCCATCAGCAGTTTTGTCTCTTTTCGTTTCAAGAGAGAAGAAGGCCGCGAGCTTGTTGCTGCTTGGCGCTTTGCTGCAGCTGCAGCAGCTGCAGCAGCAGCAGCAGCAGCAGCAGCACAGCAACGCCTCAGCCCCTAACGCTCCCCCTAATAGAAGCAAATAAGGCTGCAGCTAATAGGCTCTAGAACAAAATATGCATGCAACTCAGGTGTATATACACCTCATTCTGCAGAAGGAAACATTATTCTTCTTCGCCCCACACCAAAGCCCCGTTGAGGCCCTGGAGGCCCCCAGCTGCTGCTGCTGCTGCTGTTGCTGCTGCTGCTGCTGCTTCTTAATACTCTTTTCCTAACATAAATACTTTTGAATTTGAACTCCTTTTCTGCTGTTGTTTTTGTTTTCGTTGTTTATACATCTAGCTAAACCCCTGCATGCAGCAGCAGCAACAGCAGCAGCAGCAGCAACAGCAACAGCCGTGTCGTCGCCCGGAGTTGAGTATAGGAGTGTATCTGTGTCTTGTTGTTTTGTGTGTGTTGCAATTTGGGTTTGTTATTAATTAATTTGACGTATTGTCGCCCTCATATGCGTAGCAGCTGAAGCACTCAGCAGCAGCAGCAGGAGCAGCAGCAACAACGGCAGCAGCAGCAGCAGCTGGTGAGCGCGGTGTGGTCTTGTGCATACACCCGGCGGCACAGGCGTGGAGCTTGACGGTCAGCGGTGTAAAGGAGGGCTGCGTGTTGAGCGGGAGATGATCCCAGGGCCCCACACTCGATCCCAGACCGCCTAGAGACGATCCCAAGGCGATCCTGCAGCACATCAACACAACGCTGAGCCGCATGCACTCGCCGGCCGCCCACATGGACGCGATCCCAGACGATCCCCGGCGATCCCGTGCCGATCCCGGAACGTCAACACGATCCCAGGAACAGCCCGTGAGGAGGCGATCCTCCTCCTAGGAGGCGATCCCACTCTCTAGGAGGCGATCCCACTCTCTAGGAGGCGATCCCAGGCCCTAGAAGGCGATCCCAGGCCATAATTATCGATCCCAAGCGTAATAAGGCGATCCCAGGTCCCGGGAGGCGATTTACATTATTCAGAGTCGATCCCAGACCTTGAGCCCTGTTCTAGGAGACGATCCCAGGCCTTGGGAGACGATCCCCGGCTGTGATATGAATTGTTGTGGGGTGTATCATGTGGGGCCAGTCGCAGGATTTGCTGTTTTCGTTTGCCTGGGCATTCGGAAGGCGGCTGCTGTGGGGTGTACGTACAGCTGCTTGGTGTCTGCCTCCAGCGTTGCTGCTGCAGGATCGAGTTGCTGCTCTAAACAGAACTAACATTCCTGCTGCAGCTCTGCTGCAGCAGCAGCAGCAGCAGCAGGAACAGCAACAGCAGCAGCAGCAGCAGCAGCAGGAACAGCAACAGCAGCAGCAGCAGCAGCAGCCTAGGCACCTATCGTCTGCCTTCTCCGCTGCTGTGCCTGACTCGCATACCGCAGCAGCAGCAGGAATAGCAACAAGAGCAACTGCAGCAGCAGCAACTTCAGCAGCAGCAGCAGCAGCAGACAGCAGCAGCAAGAGTTCTTGGGTGCTGACGAGCCTATTAGCACAAGAGATGTACAGAGGCTGTTATGTAAGAGCAGCAAATGCAAATGCATTTAACTCTCGGGTGTATGTACAGGTCGTAGGCATACCAGGCGACGTCCTCGCCATCCCCTGGGGGCAGCAGCAGCAGCAGCAGCAGCAGCAGCAGCAGCAGCAGCAGCAAGACCTGCTGCTCAAGCAGCAGCTGCTCCACCCAAGCATCGATTCAAGGGTTGTAACGCGAGGGGAGTTGCTGCTGCTGCTGCTGCAGCTGTACAGAGACAGAGACGTTGAATGGCTTAGCGGGCCTAAGCGCACCCTCATCATCCTCCAGCAACAGCAGCAGCAGCAACAGCAACAGCAGCAGCTGCTGCAGCAACAGCAACAGCAGCAGCTGCTGCAGCAACAGCAGCAGCAGCAGCTGCTGCTGCAGCTCCAGCAGCAGCAGCAGCAGGTGGAAGCGAAGTTGCAACGGCTGCTGCAGATGGAAGAAGAACACAAACAGCAGCAGGCAATCCTCAGGCAACATATAGCAGAGCTGCAGCAGCAGCAGCAGCAACAACAACAACAACAGCAGCAGCAGCAGCAACTGCAGGATTTGTTTCTTTTGCTTCGGGTCCCTCAGGGCCGCTGCTGGGTTGAGAGCCTCTCGCCTCCCGCTGCAGCAGCACCAACAGCAGCAGCACCAGCAGCACAAGCACCAGCAGCACCAACAGCAGCAGCAGCAGCAACAGGTGCTGCTACACCGGCAGCAGCAGCAGAAGTGTGGGGTGTTGGAGAGGCAGGAAGACCCAAGAAGTCCTTGACGCCAGACAGCAGCAGCAACAACAGCAGCAGCAGCAACAACAACAGCAGCAGCAGCAGTAGGGCAGCAGCAGACGACGACAGTTTTACTTTCGGTTTGCTGCCGCTGCCTTTGATTGATGGAGTTATTCTCCTCGCTGCTCCCGCCCCACAGCTCAGCAGCAGCAGCAGCAGCAGCAACAGCAGCATTAGCAGCAGCAGCAGCAAGGTTTCGTGGTTGAGGCGTGCGTATTTAGAATTAATTTCTTTTTTATTTCTTCCGCTGTCTCTGCAGCCAGTCTCAGCACGTGAATTAAACGCCAAAAGCAGCAAAGGCACCCGCCTCCTCTTGCATTCGCCTCCTGATAGCTAGCTAGCTATCTAGCTAGCTAGCTAGATAGATAGACAGATAGCTAGCTTATAGAGCTAGCTAGCTGCGTAGTATATAGCTAGCTAGCTAGCCAGCTAGCTAGCCATATAGCTAGCCAAATGTCTAACTAGCAAGGTACCCAAATACCTAGCTAGCTATCGAACTAGCTGGCTAGCTAGCTAGCTATCTAGCTAGCTAGCTAGCTAGCTAGCTAGCCGAGGGTTGAACTGGTTGGTTGTTGGAGAGGAAGATCCGAGGGCTGCGTCTTTTTTTGCTTTTTTTGTTTTTTAAATAATAAAAAATTGTTCAACAGAAAATACAAAGTAAAGAAATGATTATTAGTAAATAATAATAATAATAATAATAATAATAATAATAATAAAAATAATATTAATAATAATAAGCTAGCTAGCTAGCTAGCTAGCTAGCTTATTAGCCTGGTGTAATTAGGCGGGGCAGGGTTGTATGTGTTTTGTATTTATTTCTTCGTTAGTTTTATTAATTTAGCTGTTTCGACTTCTGGTGTTTTGTTGCTGCTGTTTAAAACAAATAAGTCTGCATAAACAGCAGCAAATCATAACACCTGGGGTTTAGGGTTTAGGGTTTAGGGTTTAGGGTTTAGGGTTTGGCCGCTGTGCCACAGGGAGAAACACGAAACCTTTGCAAGCATGGGGCTCGCTCGAGCTGCAGCTAGCTAGCTGCAGCTAGCTAGCTATGTCTGGCTAGCTAGCCGCTAGCTAGCTAGCTAGAACCATTCAGCAAGAAGGGGTGTTCAGGGTGTACGTACACTGGAAACCCTATTATAGATATAATAGAGATATAATAGATATATAATAATGATGTAATAGAGATATAGTAGATATATAATAGATATAACGCATATATATATATATATATATTTATATGTATATAGATATAAAGAGGGTTTTCCTTTTTATTTTGTTAATTCTTTGTTTTGTTTTTCTTTGTTTTGTTGCTTTCTTAGAAACCCGCATGCATATTATTATTACATTTATTATTATTATTATTTTATTGAGATATTTTTATATTTAGTATTATTTTCTATGTATCATTTTATTGTATTTATATTATTATTTAATGGAGATCAACGCAATAAAATAATATAATAAATTTTGTTTTTTCTAAACATATTTTTTCTATGATGTATTTGGGGTGTACATACACCTCAGGGATAACATGACGAAATAATTATTATAGTTTTTTGTTTTTTTGATTAAATAAAATATTTAAAATGATATATTAAAAATAATTAATTTGTTTATTTAAATCGATTGATAATTAAAGAGATGCTGTGAGAATTTATTTATTTATTTATTTTTATCGCTTTCTACTGCGCACCACACAGCCATTAGACAGAACAGCAGACTGTTTATTTTTGTTTATTTTATTGAATTATTAATTGAAATAAATAAAATAATTGTTTAAATTATTTAAATTAATTAATTTTAATTTATTTTATTTTAATTTTTAAAGAGCTGCACTTAGAAGAAGCGGATCCCCCTTCGTTCGCAGCCCCTCCTTGGCTTGCGTCTGAAGATATTTGTTTGTGTAAAAATAAATTTGTTTTTTAGTTTAAATTTATTTAATTAATTTAATTTAGTTTAATTTAATATGATAAACGCAACGTAAATGAATTTACGCTCCTTTGCGAGAAACAAACGCTAATACTGCGTAGTGGTGTGTGCACACTAAACCCTAAACCCTAAACCCTAAACCCTAAACCCTAAGCAGAGACAGTCAGTGAAAGTGGGGCTGCAACAACCAGCAATTTAAGAGCTGAGAAGGATTCCTATTCAGGTGTACGTACAGCCTGTCTCTCCCGTGCTAAATAAAGGCCTATAGAGTAAAGAAATTGCTGCCCATCTGCTGCAGCAGCAACATTAGCAGATAATCCTCCAGCTGCAGCAACAGCAGCAGCAGCAGCAGCAAGAGCTGCAATAGCAGCTGCCGCAGCAGCAGCAGCAGCGAAGGCAGCAGGTTGTTCAGTGCTGTCTGCTGCTGTCTTCGTTTTGTATTTGTTTTGCTGCTTCTTCTGTTTAATTGTTTATTTGTTTTATTTTTATCTTTACTCTTCTCTCTTTCTTCACGCCCTACCCTTATCTTTTTAATGCATGCCTTTTGCTTACGGTGTATAGACAGCTGAACAACAAAACAAACCCTAAACCCTAAACCCTAAACCCTAAACCCATGCCTCCTTTTCTCTCTCTTTCTCTCTCTCTCCTCAACCGTCTCCACCTTCCTCCGCAGTATCTTCTGCTCCTCTTTACTCCCTAGGGTTTAGGGTTTGGGGTTTAAGGTTTAGGGTTTAGGGTTTAGGGTTTAGGGTTTAGGGTTTAGGGTTTAGGGTTTGCAGAATGGAGGTTTCAAAGGAACAAGATAATTCGGCTATTAAAGGCATCAGCTCTCTTCAGTTTAATTCTTCTTCTCTTAGAAACAGCGGAGTGTCTGTACACCCCAACGACAATCAAACAAATACACAAAACCAACAAGAACAACAACAACAACAGCAGCCGCAGCAGCAGCAGCAGCAGCAGCAGCAGCAGCAGCAGCCGC